AGGACTGCATGTGGGTGGTGCAAGACCAGCTGCAGCTATGTCACTTCAGATGCCTTCCTCCCTGGCTTCCTGCAGCTGCTCTGAGCAGCTCATGTTGGAGGACATTAGGCCTCAGTGCTTTCTCCTTTTTGGCTGGAAGGGGGACCTCAGGGGCTTCACTCAGGTGGTCCATATATCCTTATTCTAAGCAACCAGGTGGCTGAACTGTCACTGTCCTGCCCAAGGTCATGTGTGCTGGTGGATAGCAGCTTTCTGGAGTTATTTCTTGCTCATCCTTCAAGAAATTACAGTACCAGATACTTTGGATTGTGGGGCAAGGGATTTGTCCTCAGCCCCCAGGCCCACAGCCTAAGAAGAGGTGGAGCAGCTTGGGAGGCTCTTTGCAAGCCCTAAACATCTTTCTGCCATCTAGAGAGTTTGCTGCTGTGTCTTCAGAAGTCCACCAGCTGAGCTTTGCTTCTCTTCCTGATCTGTGGTGGGATGTGACCTGTGAAGACAGCCTTAGTCAGGGCTACCCTGGAACTGCGAGGTACCTCCAGAGCCCTGGGGGGTGCAAAAAGGGGGGATCTCCTGGGGTTGTTGGGGAGACTCCTCTGGGCTGCTTCAGAAAGGAGATTGTAGAATGGTTTGTGCTGGAAGGGACCTTAAAGATATCAATATATCTGTCGGGTGCAGCAGCTGTTATGCACGTTTGGTTTGCGTGCTGTTCTGGTGATGGTGGTTGAAGCAGCTGTGGGGCTTTAAGGGCTGGGAAGTGTGTGTGGAGAAGATAGTTGTGGTGGGGGAAGCACGTGAGTGATAAGGAGAAGCATCTGCTGTGCCTTGTCAGTGAGGTAATGGGGGTGATGGTGCAGACCAGCAGCCTTTTCTTACTGGCTGTGTTCTTGCTGAGGTTGGCATGTCTCTGGCTGCATGTGACTTGCTGTTGGTGGAAAAGAGTCCTGTGAGTCCCGTGCCTGGGCTCTCTGTGTGGGCTTGCTGTTTGCAGGATGATTGCTAAAGCCATGGGGGGAGGGCAGTGAGGGAGAATCACATGAGAGCAAGGAGAGATCACTTGTCTCTGAAGAAGGCTCCAGGGAGACCTTAGAGCACCTTGCAGTACCTGAAGGGGCTACAGGAAAGCTGGGAAGGGACTTTTGACAGGGACATGGAGTGATGGGATGAGGGGAAATGGTTTCAGGCTGAAAAAGGGGAGATTTAGATTAGATACTCAAGAAGAAGTTTTTTTGCTGTGAGGGTGGTGAGACACTGGCCCAGGTTGCTTGGGGAAGTTGTGGCTGTCCCATCCTTGGAAGTGTTGAAGGCCAGGCTGGACGGGGCTTGGAGCAGCCTGGTCTGGTGGGAGGTGTCTGTGACCACGGCAGGGGGTTTGGAATTAGAAGATCTTTAAGGGCCCTTCCAACCCAAACCATTCTAGGTTTTCTTCTTCCTTCTCCACCCAGGTTTTGGCATATTCTGTGCCATCCAGCTTAGGGTATTAGCTCACCCAGCAAAACTTTATGCCCTTAGGAAGCTTCATAGAATAACAGAGTGGTTTGGGTGGGAAGGGACCTTTAAAGGTCATCTAGTCCAACCTCTCTGCAGTGAGCAGGGACATCTTCTACTAGATCAGGTATCTGAGAGCCTCATCCAACCTGACCTGGAATGTTTTCAGGGATTGGGCATCTCCCACCTCTCTGGGCAACCTTTGCCAGTGTTTCACCACCCTCATTTATCTAGTCTGAATCTTCCCTCTTTTAGTTTGAAACCATTGCCCCTTGTCCTGTTGCTACAGGCCCTAAAAAGTCTTTTCCCCATGAGGCTGAGGATTTCTTCTTTGTTCTGCACCCAGATTTTGGGGTGATCTGTGCCATCCAACAGAGTGTATCAGCATCTCCCCAAAAAAACTTCATGCCAGGAGGAGACTTGGTGAGAGGCTGGTTTGATGAAATGACCGACTGGCTCCCAGCTACTTGGGTTGTGCTGGGCAGTGTCTCTGTTGGGTGTGCTGGCCATCAGCCACATCGTGGGGCAGATGCAATGCAGCAGACCTTGAAACACAAGTGCTTGTCAGAGGGGAAGCTGCCTGGTGTCTTCTTTCAGTCTGGTCTCAGGTTGCCTGGAGCTCGTAGGCTGCAGCCAGTGTGGTCTGGTAACCTGAGGATGTGAGATCTCCCATGTCTGTCCATCAGGAGCTCGGTGCAAGAGGCTGGATCCATGCAGGAGGTTTTGCAGGGCAGGTTTCAGCTTGTCAGCAAATTTACAGGCATCTTGCTGAAAACAAAAGTATACCAAGTGGCTTCAGGCCTCAGAAATGCCTCCTGTCTGCTACAGAAAATATAAAGTTGACTGCAGGAAGTACAGAGGTTTTAGGGTTTGTTGGGTTTTTTGGGTTTGTCTATTTTGTATGTTTTATGTTTGTGTGAGGTTTTGGTTGTTTGGTTTTTATGTGTGTTTGTATTTTTTCAAGACTTTTCATTAAAACAGGTGCTTCAGCTCAGACTGGTCACCTGTTGGCTTCCTATGGCCATGTTGAAAGGACACAAGTCAAAAACCACACTAGCTTTAGAAATGTCTTATCTGCTTTGCTGAGTGTAACCTTCCTGCTGCACAAGCAGGAGAGCACAGTGGGGACACCAGCAATGCCAAAGTCATTAGTCTGCCAGAAAGCTCTAAGCAAGCAAATACCCATGAAACCCCTTCAAAGAGCTGAGATCTGCGGGTAGGAGGACACAGGCAGTACTGGAATTCAACCAGCTTTTGGGCTGAGCATCCTGCTG